CACTGGGGAAAGTAGAATGGGGGAACCCTCCATGTAACATAAGGGAAAGGGTGTGGTTCCCAGTGTAACCTCCTGAAAAGTGGGGAGGGGGGAACTTACTGGTAAGAGATAGGTCATCCCCTGAAATAGATATAACCCTCAAGACAGTTTATTCCCAGTTCTTACAAGAACAACAGAATAATGCTGCATTAAGTCTGGTCTTACAACTTCCATAGCAAAAGGGCAAGTCATCAATCAAGAAAAAGCCACCATTTGTCCACACATAGAAATGATTCATGATTTGTTATATATTAATAATAAGCCTTGCATTTGAAATCGTACCTCTTCCCGTCTTCAAGACATCCCAAAGTGCTTAGCAGAATATACTGTAAAGTGAATTCACTGTATATTTTGTGGGCAAAATGTGGCAGCCAATTGTACACAGTAGTATCCCCCAAACAGTCATGGATTGAGTGACCGCATTTTTTTAAAAAGGGATTATTACCCCAGAAAGCGATCCATCAATTGACTAACAATCGGTTTCCTATTTACTGCGAGGAAAACAGAGGCATGTGGAGTAAGGAAACTTACCCAGTATTTCACTCTGTAATATAACTCAATCCAAATCAAGGGTGTGTTAGCAGCCACCTCAATAATAATCCACCTCAATAACCCACCTCAATAATAACCCACCTCAATAACCCACCTCAATAATAATCCACCTCAATAACCCACCTCAATAATAACCCACCTCAATAACCCACCTCAATAATAACCCACCTCTATAATCCACCTCAATAATAATCCACCTCAATAACCCACCTCAATAATAACCCACCTCAATAACCCACCTCAATAATAATCCACCTCAATAACCCACCTCAATAATAACCCACCTCTATAATCCACCTCAATAATAATCCACCTCAATAACCCACTTCAATAATCCACCTCAATAACCCACCTCAATAATAATCCACCTCAATAACCCACCTCAATAATAACCCACCTCAATAATCCACCTCAATAACCCACCTCAATAATAACCCACCTCAATAATCCACCTCAATAATAACACACCTCAATAACACACCTCAATAATAACCCACCTCAATAATAATCCACCTCAATAACCCACCTCAATAACCCACCTCGATAACCCACCTCAATAATCCACCTCAATAATAACCCACCTCAATAATAACCCACCTCAATAATCCACCTCAATAATAATCCACCTCAATAACCCACCTCAATAACCCACCTCAATAACCCACCTCAATAATCCACCTCAATAATCCACTTTAAACCACATACTGTGTCCCATTCCCAGTGCCTTCTGTACTTCCTGCCCTTCTCAATATTGGCCCTTCTGTTATTTGTCAATTTACTCTTAAAGGAGTATGCATTATTATTATTATTATTATTATTATTATTATTATTATCCAACAGTTTGGCTTCAGTTTTTCTTTAACCTTCTATTAATCTAGCTGGTCATCTAATCTTTCTTCTCAATCTTGTCCTTTCTGTCTCTCTTTCCTCTGGTCTATCTTTGGTTATCTCTTGCTGTTCATCCTCTTGTCATGTGTAGTTCACTTTCTCATCTCCACGACGTTCTTCTCTATTTGTTTCCTTTATTGTCTTCTATCCAATATGATCTTGGTTATTTATCTGGTTTCACTATTTTCCCTTTTGGCCACCGCTCTGTTTTAATATTCCTCTTTCTGAACCACACCCAAACCATCTCCTTTATTTCAAAGCTTTTCTTTTCACCTTCTGCCTTTTGTTTTGTATTTCTATTCTTTCTTTGCAGTTGCAGTTTTAATCTGTTTTCTCCGCATATTAATCTGTCCCTTAATTGCCTTGACATTAACATTTGTGCTGGTGATCTTTCATTTGTATTGGTGTGTTTCTGTACGTCAATTGCTAACAGTTTATTTTCTTTTGCATTTTCTACCTTCTTCAACATTTTCTTGAATGTTTGCATTGTTCTCTCCACCACCCCATTGCTCTGTGGATATCCCGGGAATGCTGTTCTGTGCTTCATTCCCCGGTCCTTTGTAAATGTCCTATATTTTTCATTTACAAATTGTGGTCCATTGTCACTTATCGCTATTTCTGATATTCCATAAGTTGCAAAAATCCCCATTGTTTTGTATATTACGGTTCCTGCAGTCGTGTCAGGTAGTTCAGCAAAAACAAAATAACATGATGTGTAATCCACGGCTACAAGACAGTTTCTCTTTGTGGTAAAACTAGTCTGTTCCTATCTCTGTCCCAGCTTGCTGTGGTTTCTCGTGCCACATGTTTGGCTTGTGCCTCTGCTTGTTTTGATATCTGGCCCACGTGTCGCACGCTTTCTTTCTTTCTTTCTTTCTTTCTTTCTTTCTTTCTTTCTTTCTTTCTTTCTTTCTTTCTTTCTTTCTTTCTTTCTTTCTTTCTTTCTTTCTTTCTTTCTTTCTTTCTTTCTTTCTTTCTTTCTTTCTTTCTTTCTTTCTTTCTTCCTTTCCTTTCTTTCTTTCTTTCTTTCCTTTCTTTCTTTCTTTCTTTCTTTCTTTTCTTTCTTTTTTTTTTTTTTTTTTTTTTTTTTTTTTTTTTTTTTTTTTTTTTTTTTTTTTTTTTTTTCTTTCTTTCTTTCTTTCTTTCTTTCTTTCTTTCTTTCTTTCTTTCTTTCTTTCTTTCTTTCTTTCTTTCTTTCTTTCTTTCTTTCTTTCATGGCTTCAGGTATTTATCTCAGTGGCTGTATTATCGGTTTTACATTGTCCTTTATCCTTATCTTCATACTCCCCTTTCATTAACCCTTCTTTTCCCCAAAACTTGTTTGTATTTTCCTATTATTTCCTCCATTTCTAATCTTTTGTTTTCTTCTTTCCTCGCATTTTGTATTCTTTTCAACAGTCCCTTTTTACTTATATCCTGTAGACTCAACAATGTGTCCGCCTGTACTTTCACAATGTAAAATGGCATTGTATATACTTTATTTTTATACCTGGTTTCTATTTCTGCTCTTCCTACGATTTCAATGTCACCTGTTGTATGTCACTAATCTTCCTTTTCCTGTTTCCATCATTTCTCTCTGTGGTTCTCCAAGTCTCAAACACAGCAACAACAACGACTTAGATGTATATAGCGCCCTCCACACGGGACGGCGTCTCAGAGCTTCACAGTAACGAATCCTGGGGCCGAGCCAGGGAGAGGGGGAGGGGCCAAGGGAGGGGGAGGAGCCAGGGGAGGGGAGGAGCCATGAGGAGGAGCCAGGGGGGAGGAGCCGGGGGAGGGGAGGAGCTGGGGGAGGGGAGGTGCCAGGGAAGTGGAGGAACCAGGGGAGGGAGAGGAGCCAGGGGAGGAGCCAGGGGAGGGGGAGGGGCCAGGGGGAGTGGGAGGAAGGTGACCAAAGGTGTGGTCAAAAAGAAAGGTCTTCAGCAGAGACCTGAAAATAGGAAGAGAGGGGCGAGGGGAAGGGAGTGAGGAAGGGATCCCAGAGCCTCGGGGCACAGTGGCTGAAGGCACGGCCACCGAGGGTGGAGCGAAGTACTCGGGGGACGGGGACGAGGACGAGGCCAGACCCGGTGGAACAAACCCAACGGGCACTGTTTTGAGGAGAGAGGAAGTCAGAGAGGTCGGGGGGTGCAGAGGAGTGGAGGGACTTGAAGACAAGGGTGAGGATCTTGAAGTCAATCCTCTCTGGGATAGGCAGCCAGGATGTCGTTTGTGACTTTTACAAGCGCAGTCTCTGTACTGTGGGGGGAAACCAGACTGGAGGGGTTCGAAGAGGGAGTGGGAGGAGAGGTGTGCGTGCAACAACACATGCTAGGACTTTTGTGAGAAAGGGCAGGTTTGAAAGAGGGTGGGAATGGCTGGGGTTTGAGGGATCTAGGGAGGGTTTTTTGATGAGGGCAGTGATGACAGCAGTTTTGAGAGGGGCAGGGACTGATCCAGAGGAGAGGGACTGGTTGATGACGTCAGCCAGTAGTGGGCAGAGGAGAGGGAGATGGGTGACCTGTAAGTTGGTGGGGAGGGGGTTGAGCAGCAGGTGGTGGGTTTCATTGAGGTGATGGTGGGTGAGAGGAAGGAGGGATGGGGAAGAAGGAATGTAGGATGGGGGTCGTGGTAGTAGCTGCTGATGGGGAGGGTGAGGGGGATGGAGAGAGGGTGGTGGTGGGTGATAAGAGGCAGGTGGATGAGGCTGGAGCCTCATTATGTATTTTGGATGAAAAGAAATCCATGACCTCCTCGCACTTGGCATTGGATGTGAAGATTGAGGAGGCCTGAGGGGGGGCATGGAGGAGGTAGTGGGTGGTGGAATAAAGGACTTTGGGATTGTTTTTTGACTCCAAGATGATGTTGGAGTAGAAGCCGTTTTCGCGCAGGTCAAAGAACAGCGGTAGCTGTGGAGATGCTCGAGCCACAGTTGGTGGTGAACTGTCAGGGCAGTTTTCTGCCATCTGGAGTCCTGTAGCTCAGTGGTTACAGCACTCGCTTTGCAAGTGAGAGACCTGAGTTCAATTCCAGGCAGGAAAACCTTGGGCAAGTTTCCTTACTCCACACAGAGCCTAATAATAATCCCTCCAAAAAAACAAAACAATAATAAATTGGTCATTTTCAATCTACGACTGTTTGTGGGACATTGCTGTGCGCAATTGGCTGCCGCGTTCGCCCACAAATATACAGTCAATTCACTTTACAGTGTGTTCTGTGAAGCACTTTGGGACGTCCTCCCGACGTGAAAAGCGCTGTATCAAATGCAAGGATTATTTATTTATTTATCTGCGCTTGAGCAGCCGGTTTGAGTTTTTAGGGAGCGAAGCTGGTTGTTGTGCCAGGGGGATCGGGTGGGTTTGGAGATGGTCCTTGATTTCATGCGGATAAGAGAGTTGAAGGTGAAGGAGAGGCGATCATGGAGCAGCTGGACAGCTGCTTCAGGATCTCTGCGGGTAGAAGGCCAGAAGGATAGGATATTTGAGGATGTGAGGGCCTTTGTGAGGGTCTCAGGGGGGAGTCTTTTCCACGGGCAGTAGAGTATGGTTGACGGCTTGGAGAGAGGAATGTGGGAGGAGAAGGAGATGAGGAAGTGGTCCGAGATGGCCTTGTCCACTATGCTCAGGTCGGAAATGTCAAGGCCATGGGTGATGATGAGGTTGTGGGTCTGTGAATTGATGTGAAGGGTGAGGTTTAGGGAGGAGAGGAGGGCAGTGAAGTCAGAAGAATTGGTGCAAGGGGAGTTTAGGTGGAGGTTGAAATTGTCCATTATGAGCAGGCGCTCGGAGCAGAGGGACAGGGAAGAGAGGAGAGTAGAGATGTCAGAAAAGAAGGAGCCGGGGGGCTTAGGGGGGCAGTAGACCAGGAGGATTTTCAGTGAGAGAGAGGGATGGAAGGGTGTTCTTGTCCACATTGCTCACGTGTCTTCTTGTTATATATCTTTCTCTAGGTCTGTATACTGGCTGTGCTCCGTATTCTTCATCTGTGTTATTCCAGCTCCTTCCCCAGCCAGTTTATCTATTTCCATCTCTAGTTCCCCATTCCCCAAACTCTTTCCTATGAGCTACAAGCATTTCTTCTATGTTTATTATTTGTCCCGCTTGCTGTAAATTCAAGTCTTCCTGTTTCAGAAGCTTGCTCCTTATTATGCCGTCTTTAATCCCGATCACAATTTGATCTTTAATCATTTCTCCTTCAGGGCCCCATTTTGGATGTTTTGCTGAGTGACCATAATTCAGCAAAATATTGGGCACATGGTTCCGCAGGCCCTTGTTTTCTTGTGCTAAACTTATACCTGTCAACGATTATATTGTTCTGTCCATAACACCTTTCTCTCATAATATTCATTATATAATCTAAAGCCATGTCTATAGCCCTTTCCAGGGTCTCAGAGTATTTTCTAGAATCTCCCCCTGCTGCATTTAGAATAATAGCAGCTTGCTGTTATCTTGCTGTTTATATAATAATAATAATAATAATAATAATAATAATAATAATAATCCTTGCATTTGATATAGCGCCTTATCATGTTTTCTTGGCAGCTGCAGCATATTGCTGGCTAAGGCAAATACCATTCAAACCGGTTCCAATTATGCCTCAGGTTGCCACTTAACTTCAATGGCCTTGGTATTTGCACCTCACTGTGGCCTCATATTCTTTTGTTCCAGTCTGCATGTTGTTTCTTTAATTCGGCTTCCAATCTCGTGGTCCAATTCAGTCCAAATTCAGTTCACTCTTGACACCTTGTAATATAAGTCAATGCAAATCAAGGCTGTGTTAGCAGCTTTTTTATTTGTCAATCCAAACTCTCAATAATCCACTTTATTAATCCACTCTAATCCATACTGTGACCCACTCCCAGTGCCTTCTGTACTTCCTGCCCTTCTTCTTATTGCCCCTTTTGTTCATTGTCAATTTATTCTAGGAGTATCCAACATCCCCTGCCTGGGAATCGAACACGGGTCTCCTCACTTGTGAGGCGAGCATACTACAACAACAACAACAAAATTACATTTGTAAAGCGCCTTTCAGGTTGGGAGGATGTCTCAAGGTGCTGAACAGAGAGAATTTCCGGGGGTCGGGATCGGGGCAGGGGGGGAAGCAGAATGATCGAAAGCACAATCGAAGAGGAGGGTCTTGAGATGGGTTTTGAAGGTGACAAGGGAGGGGGCGAGGTGGAGGGACTGCGGGATGGAGTCCCCCGGTGCCCCCCCCCGGTGCCCCCCCCCCGGTGCCCCCCCCCCCGGTGCCCCCCCCCCCCCGGTGCCCCCCCCCGGTGCCCCCCCCCGGTGCCCCCCCCCCCCCCCCGGTGCCCCCCCCGGTGCCCCCCCCCCGGTGCCCCCCCCCCCGGTGCCCCCCCCCCCCGGGTTGCAGCCGCTTGTGTTGCCGCGGAGTGATTGTCGGTCTCCGGTCCTTCTCCTGAACGTCTCTCTTCACTGTCAGGTTTTGCGGCGATGAGGAAAGTGTCGGTGACGGTGACAGTGAGACCCGCGCTCGGGCTTTGCTGCAGCGGCTTCACCAGCAGGTCAGGGCCAGGCAGCAGCCGGGGGTCAGCCCCGCGGCCCCGGGGGAGGCGGGAGGCCCGCGCTGTGGGCCGGTGGCAGGTGCGCACAGCCAAACAACTCCGAGGAAACGAGAAGCAAATGACCAGACGAAAAGCTCAGGGAAAAGGAGAAGGAAAACAGAGTATCTGCTGAATGATCCTCAAGAGCGCGGAGAGGAAACTGATGGCCGAGCATTGAACTGTCCAGAGGAAGGCAGCAAAGCCCCC